CCACCCTAACCCCCCCCAAAAAAAAAAAAAAAAACAAGCCCTTCAAAACCAGGTGTCATGTCAAAGTCGTTCCCCCGGCTTCCTGGAAGGATTTAGGGTTTAGGGATCTAGAGCCAAAGTCGCTCCCCGACTTCCTGTTAGGGTTTAGAGTTTAGGGTTTTAGGGTTTAGGGTTTTAGGGTTTTAGGGTTTTAGGGTTTAGGGTTTAGAGTTTAGGGTTTAGAGTTTAGGGTTTTAGGGTTTAGGGTAAGACCCGCACCTCTCGGATTCCGAGGACCTGAAGTCATGGGACTAGCTCAACAAAAGCTCCCGGACCGACGTCTGCCCACCCTAGACTAGACTAGACTATGCCATGCGACGCTAAACCATGCTATAGTGACTATAGTGTAAGATACGATACTTAAATACCACTACACTACACTATACCATGCTATGCTACACTAGACTATGCTGTATGTTATAGACTATACTAGACTATACAATACTTGGCTAACTTGTACCAGACTAAACTTAACTAAAGCTTCACTCTATCTAAGTCCAGGCAGGCCTTTACACTCATCTGCTCGAGAGACCGCAGGAGCTTGTCCAAGAGCTGGTACTGGCCAAGCGAGCCGCTGAATTTCTTGGGTTTCGGCCTAAAGAGTTTAGAGTTTAGGGTCTAGGGTTTTGGGTTCAGGGTTTAGGGTTTAAAGTTTAGGGTTCAGTTCAGGGTTTAGGGTTTACGGATCCCTAGCACAGGGTCTCTAGCTCCCGACGCACTCGGATACCCAGGAAGCTGAACTGAAACGACCCTTTGTAGCCAACACCTTGACGTTTCTTCTGCCTCTTCGGTGGCAAACAGCTGTGCTATGAGATTCCAGGAACTCCAAGCAGTCGCCATGGTCAAAGAGCACCCATTTCCGCAAGCGAGCCGTGTCATTAACGGCTGCAACATCTCTGTATGGTCTGGCTTTGAAACTCGACGTTAGGCAGCTGTCCCACATAGCAGGATAGTTCTGACGTTACATCAGTGTTTTGTGCTGCAACAGAAAGAACTGTAGCTTCACTCCATATTCCATGGCTGTGACGAAGACTCTACCGTCAACGACGATAATGCAACTCCTCCCCACCGCCCCCTAAACCCTAAACCAGGTTCTAAACTGTGACAGCTGCTAGAGGTGCAAACTCGACAGGGAAGAAACTGCTAAACCAGAGGTGGTAGGATAGAACGAAAACACAAATACCTACTGGCAAATATCGATTGCCACTATTCCCGTCTAGTGAGTAGTAATCGCCTCCACATGATGACCGAGACTTTCAGAACAACTACAGCAGCAATCTTCTTCACGCATCTTCACGCCCAATATGAAGTCTGGCTATCTCCCCCACCTATGTGAGACATTGCCGTTAAGTCGCGGAATCTAGGCTCCTACGGGGCCTGTACAAGTAGTCAGCATGTCGCAGCGCCGACGTGGAGATGTTCGGGACTTGTGTCATTGCATGTCATTGCCATAAGTAGCATGAATTCCCATTCTTTGGTAGAGTTCATCTTGCATTCATTACGCGGTGAGCGACTGCGACACGCCCACGGCCCCCAACTCTCAGATGTATGACATCCATGGTACCCGACACGAACTGAAGCGGTGGATTGCCAAAGATTATCGCCGGAACATCCATCCGGGCCTTCGATACTGAAGAAGCCTTCATTCCGCAAAGGGTTACCGGGAAGATCGTGAAACAAATCGGATGTATTGAGATCGTTGAGCCGTTGTCTAAGGCCACGCCATTAAGGCCACGCCATCGGACATGACTTCTCCTGAGAGTTCCAATTCCTGCTGGCCCTAGGCCCTAAACCCTTAACCTTAAACCCTTAAACCCAAAACCCAAACCCCTAAACCCTAAACCCCAAACCAGATCAGGGTTGAAGATGTAAACCTGCGCCCCAACAGATCGTCCATCAGTACGTCAACATCCAGGCTTCCGCTAGCTACTAATGGTACTAACGTCGGAGCTGCGGGTGGGCGTATGTGGTTGAAGCTTGCAGCTGCTCTCAGCACACTATGGGTGGTTCTCTACATGAGGATCTCTTTTGGGGGTCCCTTTTTCAAAGGTGCCGTACTATGATGGGGACCAGAAAAGAGACCACTATTTAGAACACTACCCTTATGTTGCAACTGCAGTTCTGGAAGAGTCGTGGTAGTAGGCGCCAGCTTGCTCCCATGACCTCTTCGGGGCTTCTATTTGCAGATATAGGAAGGCCGGTCCTTCGTTCCCTGCTACTGCTACCACTGCTGCTGCTACTACTTCTAGTACTAGTACTGGTACTAGTACTAGCACCTACTGTTATGACCCTTACTACTTCTTCTGCTGCTGCTGCGACTACCATCAATACGACTCCAGCTGGTAGTACTGGCATTGCTACTTCTGGTGGGGCTCAAAACTGAATCTTCTACGAGATGTCCTATCAGACTGTGGTTTGCTATGTAGTTAGACAGCAGCTTTTCTACTAGATGGGTAGTTCCGGTTCGTCAACGGTTTTCCTATTGCAAACGGTTGTCACAGAAGTGTTTTCCAATTGGATTGTTTTACTATTGCACAATGGTGAAGGGAGTTATCATTAAACATGGCTTGGCTCCGCGTGGTTTGGCTTGGCTTGGTTAGCTTGCCCTATCTGAGGTCATGGCAAAGTGGTTCCCCAAAATAGGTAATAAAATCAATAAGATAGGATAGAATCACAACCCGAAGGGGTCACGAGCAAGCTGTCGGCTAGATGGTGGTGGTGGTGGTGGTGGTGGTGGTGGTGGTGGTGGTGGTGGTAGCGGTACTGGTAGTGGTAGAAGTAGTGGTGGTAGTAGTAGTAGCAGCAGCAGTCGGAGTAGCAGTAGCAGTAGTAGTAGTAGTAGTAGTAGTAGCAGTAGTAGTAGTAGCAGTAGTAGTAGTAGGAGGAGTAGGAGTAGGAGTAGCAGCAGCAGAAGTGCACCAATAGTAGCAGCAGTCGGAGTAGCAGTAGTAGTAGTAGTAGTCGTCGTCGTAGCAGTAGTAGTAGCAGCAGTAGTAGTTGTAGTAGTTGTAGTAGTAGTAGTAGTAGTAGTAGTAGTAGTAGAGCAGAAGTGGTAGTAGAAGAAAAAGTAGTAGGAAGAAGAAGAAGAAGTAGTAGTAGTAGTAGTAGTAGTAGCAGTAGTAACATCCGTCGAGAGTCGTTCGTCTACCATGGGCATTCAAGCTGTAAAGGTGCACTTCTACTCCAACTCGGGATCAGGGCTTGTGCTGTAGGGCATTGAGACTAGGCTGCTGGGCTAGACTGTTTTGGGCTGGGGGAGAATGAAACCATGACTGCTGAACTTGCTTTATCAGCAGGCTGTTTGCAGAGCCTTGCGAAATCAGACTCTCAGGCAGCTACATGCTTTTGATAAACTTCTTGACCTCCGGTCCGACACCATCTCTGTCGATAGCGCTAGGCGCTAGGAGGCAGAAACTTATCTGGGTGCAGGTTTGGCCGCAAGGAGGCACATGGCCTACAAAGCTGGACAGGCCAGCCATAGACGTCGACTGACTTCGTCGAGAGCTACACTTACCGCCAAACCGCGCAGCCATCCCAAACCGCCTGAATTCCTTCAAACTGGCGCGATAAACAGCGAAACTGATTCCGCATGCCTGGCACCCACCCCACAAGCTGTTGAATTGAAGCTGTGGGGATGTGATAAAAATTAGGCGGTCCATGACGACGCCAACATGTGAAAGAGTCGGCGTTCCTCTTCTTCGTGCATATCGAAGCGATGTGGAAATACCACAACGCACATCGGCCGCACATGATCAGTGCTTTTGGCCCTAAAACCCAACCATCTTTACAACCTCCGATCCTCGAAAAGCCCCTAGCCTTGGTCCATCGGCTATTTCTAGCTGCGGCTTTCAAAAGGTACGGGAACCCTAAACCCGAAACGCTAGCTGCGGCTTTCAAACTGTCAAAAGGTACGCGATGAGGGGAGGCACCATGTGCCTGCTGCACAAACCTGGGCTGAGCTCTGCAGAGAACCCGGGCTCATATTGAATATGTACTGCATTATCGTATATTGTATTACATTACACAACAGCATACATTAAATTCTTAATACTATGTTCTACTCGATTCTGATACAATTTCCTGACCATGCTGTGCTTGTAGAGTACATTCTATTGTACCTCTGCTTCATTTGATATCGTATTACTTGATGGTGTAGATTAAGTTTTTCGTTGGTTTACCATGTTGCGCTGTACCATATAACATTATGTTGTAGTAGCATCTATACTACAATTATTTTATGCGTGTATATATATATATATATATATGTATATCGGTTGTTATTCTCTAGCTATCATTTATTTTAATGCAGTGTGATATACTGTGTTATACCATGTCATTATACATTGTACTATACTCTGCTGCACTATATTATCTATACACTTGGCACATTACATATTCTAGTTGATGTGATTTATATTGTGACGTGTAAGTCGTATGTTGTAGACTGTATATAGTATGTGTTGTACCTTGAACATCATCCATTTCCGAAGTAATATCCTACATATTACACCACATTCTATGTATTGTATGTTAGGAACTGAAGAAAACAAGCAGTGATAATCTCGGTAAGAGTGGAAGCCAGATGCTAAAGCCCGTTTTGCACGGCTAAGCACTGATGACGAACCACACACGAAAGAAGATTACATATGCCGAATACCCTAAACCCTAAACTTCCGATGAGATCAGTTCAATTAGCAAGCGAAGTGGAGGGAACTGCAAGCATGCACTTCTGAACTGCACAGCCACCCGTTTTCGAAGGGATTATCGTGCATGAGGTGTCAGTTCAAGCAGCAGCATGAGCCCCCTGTGGTTGCAACATGCTTGTCACCGATTGTCACCGTGTGTAATGTGAGTGCCTTAATAGTTAGAACCGGGTTTTGGGGTATATTATACTATATACTATATACATATGATTGTAAGGAACCTCCAAAATAGTATAGGCAATATTTATTAAGGCCCGTATCTTATCAATAATGGCTCGTGCTGACGGCGCTTCTTGTGGGTTTACAACAACACCGAGTTTCCAACATTCTGACAGCATGCCGCGAGAGGGAGCAGCGTTGTTTGCGACATGAACGGAACCTGCGAGTTCTACTCATTCTATCTCATGTCGAATCATCAAACGCAATAACAACATTCGCGGCATTAATCACAACGATAGGCATGAACTGATACTTGCAATGACTTGAACCACGTGCCCTCTTCGAACGTTTGGACTTGGAAACGAACAAACACAGAACGAGCTACAAGCATACTTATTCAGATCATGATCAGATAGAAACCCCACGCCCTAAACCCTAAACCCTAAACCCTAAATCCTGAACGTCCAAGGGACCTCATCCCACCATGTTGCGCACCTCTGAAGGACAAGCTGGAAGCCTTGTCACATGGCCGAGGCGTGCTTTCGGCTTCCAGATCCCCTGTGGTCCCCTTAGGGTTTAGGGTTTATAGGGTTTAGGGTTTAGGGTTAGGGTTAGGGTTTAGGGTCTAGGGTTTAGGGTTTAGGGTTTAGGGTTGTGATCTGCGGTAGGGCGGTTGGAATTTCGTGCTCAAGCGGC